ACATTAAGCAAACCAAAACTATAATAACCTTAATTGCAGCAGAAGAAATGGGTGTTCTCAATGGATCAAAAGAATATGCTTCAACAGTTCTTAAAGACCTGAGGCTCACAGCATTTGCGAGTATTTTGAATCCATTATCTGCTGTTGTCACAGCAAGGAGATTTCCTTCCTTATTGAATCTCACACGGGGAAGACTCTGAAGAAAGTAACATGATTAATTAGGCACCCAACTTAAGTTACATATGTGAAAGTGAGAAGATTTGAACATTTAAGTTATATGAAGTCCACCCTCTGCATCTGTGAAAGTGAGAAGATTGATGTTATCCATGTCCCGAAACTCTATCTGGCTATCTTCTCCTGCAGCCAAAAAATGATTTTGTGCTGTGTCAAAAGACACAACACCGGTTGATTTCTTTCTAAACCCAACATAAGTCCTCTTTATGGCTACTTCACTTTCATTCCACTCAACCAAAAAAGATTCTCCATCTGTACTTGTTCCACAAGGGAACAATCTGAAACGGAAGTAGAAATTAGTAGAAGTTCAAGATTAATGAATTACATGTAAAACTTAACCAAAAATATAAAAGAAATTAAAGGCACTATAAGGAAAGCAATTTTTGGGTAAAGTACAACAGATGTCACTAAACTTTGCTTAAAAGATCGTTTTGCTCACTTAACTTTCAAAAGTTACAAAATGGTCATTAAATTTATCAAACTATTACAAAATGGTCACTGCGACATTATAATAATTTGTAAAAGTTAGATCAATTTATTGACCATTTTGTAACTTTTGATAAATTGTCACAGAAACGCTACAAAATGGTCACTATGCTCAGATGATTGTTTTGGTCACCTAACTTTCAAAAGTTACGACATGGACATTTAATTTATCGAACTTCTACAATTTATTATAACGTTGCAGAGACTAAAACAATCATTTTTCTGGGGGTGAAGGTAATTAGAAGTTTTTAACAGGAAATTGCTAACGTTGTCATGATCATACCTACATCCATCGGCACTGTAAAGCAAAGTAGTACACCAGTGACCTGGGGCATCATAGTCAACTCTGGAACCCAAATTATCATACAGCCAGGCCTTAATTTTCCCATTGGCATCAGTTGAAAATATGAATTGCAGTGATGTAGATAATTACCAAAGGGAAGTATAAATTCCCATTGAAGCATCAATTATTGGCCCGAAAAGAAGACCCTAAGCATTCAACTAATCCAACCAAACCCTGAACTCCACAAAGACACTGGCCTAAACTATTGAACGAGGAGTATCAAATATAACAGATCACTTAGAACTAAATCATTGGGCATAAAGTTCTAAGTGGGAGTATGAAAATGGTTCTGATAAAGCGGGCACCTCTTTGATGAATATCTGACAGGAAAGGAAATCATAAATTACACAGAGCACTTTGCTATATGAAGTTCCATGCATTTAACAAGTTGGTTCTGATAGTGTCTTTAGGCAGAAGAGATTGGTTATAATCACAGTCTAGACAGCAGCAGAGGCCACTGCTGCTAGCAGATTTATAATCAAGGCTTTATCCTTGTTTCCTATTCTAAATACTAAGAAGTATATATGATCAACAACCAATCAGACTGTCTCAACTGTACCTGAATGTTCTCTTTATGATGCGGGCAGATGGAATATATCGGTGCATTATGACCCTTGAAATTAAACAGCTTTTTTCCTGTCACTGAATCCCACACCTGTTCCCCTTCTTTCAGTAATACCACAACAAATATCCAGTTTAATCGAACTATTATATTAGTGAAAAAATTACTATTGCCACCTTTATGATCTTGTCATCTCCACAGGTAACAATGCACAGTTTTTTTGTTTGAAGGAGCAAAAGCAAAGTCATTTACACCACCAGCATGGGCATCAATCTGTTAACAAAGTAGAAAAGGTCAAACACTGGTTATCTGTCCTTTCATCTGGAGAGTAGAAGAAATATCAACTAACCTCTAACCGCTGGATTAGATCATTTGATCCACCATAAGCATACAAGTGAATTAAGTGTTTGGAAAATGCAACTCCTACAGCAAGCAAGGCAATAAGTGCCAATATATGCAAACTAAAATGTTAATAATATATAAAAAAGGAACACACCTACAAAACTTCCATCAGGACTCCATGTGACACGGCTGACAGATATTGGGGCATCATTGGCTATCAAAACCTGCAGGTAATTCTTCCAACAAAATCAATTGCAATGCCGAAACCCATAGAAATTGCTAAAGCAGACATGAGTGACATGAAAACGGTAGTTTGATAGACATTGCAAAGGAAAAGAAGGCAGAAAGTATAATAGAGAGCGAGATCTCAGCAAGTAATGGCACACAAACCTGAAATGGCATTGAACATGCCGAAATATCTCATATCTTGAATGACTTCGAGATCAACTTCTCCCGCATTCCGAGATCCCACAGTGTAATTTCACCATTGGCGGAACCAACTGCTCCAATGTATTGTCATGAAAGTAGAAAAGTTTCGAGCTAAATTAATTTAATTGAAAATAGACCGAGTTTAAGTCTTTAAGATATAATTGAATCCAGTCAATTACTGTTTAAAACATAATTTATTTAAATATAATTATAAAAGTATATTAGTAATATTTACTAACAAGTTATTGAAAGAATCATGTAGTCATCGTTGTTGTCCAAATGAGTCGCACTTTTAGCTCTCGTGGCAAACCAAACCAAAAGAAGGGTTGCAGTAGAGATTTTCAGAAAAAATAAAGTCCACACCTACCCACCCGATCCAACTATTATAAATAAAGGTTTCAATGTCGATATCTACTGCGCCGCCCCGCATGTGATTGTTGAGATCATTACGTGTCAACTTCTGGTTAGTTGGATTTGTCGATGGGTGGTGGGGTCTGCTGACATTGTGGCCCCCAACGCAATCTATGATCAATACTTTTAGATCAGCAAGGGATTGTTATCGTAATTAATCAGGAAATTAGAACATCAGCCGGCAGTCATTTTCTATGGACCACAACTTTTGGCTAAACTATTAAAATAATGGCTTTTTAAATTTTTTTAATCAAAATGACACCAAACAAATTTATTTTTCAAAATAGTACATGTTCCCATCACCGTAGCATTTTGAAAGACTCTTCCTCAAAGAAATATTTTTATTTATGTTATAGGTAACCTGAAATATGAACATAATTTATATTTTACATGTGACACATCACTTAGGTAAATACGTGTAATTAAAGAAAAATATGTGCCATTATAGGAATTAAAAATTTTTAATACTATTTTGATACAAAATATTAAAATAGTGTTACTTTAATAATTTAACCACAACTTTTTCTAGGCATTATACGAGAAATTTCTTCAACTAATATAGAATTAAGTTGAGATTAACATTGTTATACTGCGAATATTATGGTGTATAATTTTATGATTAAATTTCACAAAGATATGGTTGTGAATTCAAATTGCATAAATAACATTTTGTGTTTGTTTACAATTTTTGTCTCAATAATTTCGCCCATTACAATTGACCTAAAACAACTACACTTACAACATGATTCCTTTGAGAATACATCACTAATTATAATCATTAGTTTGATTTAAATAATTAACATATTAAATTAAAACTAAATAAAGGATTGTGTCTGAAATTTCTTGACGACTCTAATACCATTAGTTGAATTTAAATAATATATATATTTAATTAAAATCAATAAAAAAACCACCTTCAAAAATTTCTTGACGATTCTACAACCATCAATTAAATTTTAATTATTCCAACATAACGCCAAATCCAACATCAGTGCGTTATCATTGAAACAAAGCATACTGTTGTAAAAATAAAGCATGATATGAACTTGTGTGGTTTGAAGAAAAAGATGGGTATTTATCATCAAAATCCCAAACATAAGATGAGAAATAAATAAAGATAGTATTGTTATGCGATAATTTAATTTAATTTAAAATAATTTTTAATTTGAAATATGATTATATTCAATTAAAAAGTTATATAAAATTGTAACATTTTATATTGTAATCGAAAAGTTATATTATGGGGTTTAGGGTTTAAATCAATATATATATATATATAACATTTTTAATAGTAACCGAAAATATTACAAAGAATATAACATTTTTGGATTCAACCTAAAGTGTTGTTATGTTAAATATAAAGAGTTACATTCTTAATAAATTGTTTAATTATAATCAATTTTTAGTATTTTTAAACATTGTATTAGTAAGTTGTATTTTAAAATTTTCGTAAAGAAGAAGAAGAAGAAAAAAAGTAGGATTATTCAAAGGTTTGCCATGACGGAGAGGTGCATGTTACCGACACGGATGGCATGCCCATGAACATTGTGCGGCCTTTTGGGGCCCTCTCCTTCCCATCAATTAGCCATCCATCGCATTTAGTGGACCCTTTCTCTTACCTCCACACAATTCTTTGACCCCTAATATGTTGCCACTCAGTTTTTGACTACTTTCAACATCCTTCTCAATAAAATTATAAGTGTTTTGCATGCCCAAACTTGCTTCTTCTTGCTAATAATTTCGTTCTCATACACATATATTTTATGTTTATTTTACTATTTATGATAATATCCTCTTTAATATTTCAATTCAAGTTTTTTCTTTGATATTACACTTTATTTTTTTATTACATCAAACATTTGTTCGTAACTCATACCTCTATTACAGTTACATTTAGATTTATTTATAATAGCGTTGTAAATTAATTAATAATTGAGACAAGTTCTGGATCTAAAAGTTGATGTTTCTGTTGCTGCTCATGGACAGCTGCATCATCTGTTCATGCACCAGCTGTGCTCCAAGACTTTTCTCAACTTTGTGCTCCAAGACTTTTCTCAACTTTTCTTACTTGTTTATTAACTGTTTCTTAATAGTATTAAAAAATATTTTAACAATTAATATTATATGATAGTTTTTGTTTATGAAAATAATGAAATAAGTTGATCATTTGATGGACTAAATGCAAGAATTCATGCATGTAAATACATGTCTCTGCGCCTTTTGTTCCTTTGTTCTCCTCTTCACGGATAAGAATTAAAGCTTTTAAAAAAACCACAACCTAACAAACAACAACGAAGGAAAATATTCTTTCTTTTCACTATGGGTATTTTTTCTGATCCATCTCCATATTTTATGTGTCGGTTTCTCATATTTTCTTGTAAAGATCGACTCATTGCATTCTGGTTACTCACATCAGCTTCTCAGCAAACCATTTGCTCTTGAGGTCTAATCACATCACCTTTTTTCTCTCCTTTTGGCGGGGTTGATCTTGATGTTTTCTTTCTTTTTTGGTTGGAGTGGCTTGTTTGATTGCTGAGAAAATGGAGGAAAAGAAAGTGGAAGACGAGAAAGTTTGGTTATTGGGTTTTTGTTTTAGTTTAGAAATGTTGGATATTATCTAAGGAAAACCAGAAAGCTCTATCTTTTAGTTTTTGCCTTTTCTGTAAAGGGAAATTTCAGCTAACTTGAAGTTCTAGTAAGCTCTAGATATCCTTCTTTTACTTTTCAAGTTGGCCACCAGCCAGTCTTTACAACATACTGAAAGATGGCAATTTGAACTCTCCCCTTTTCTTTCCCCATTATCCTTTCTCGGCAACCAAACAGACCAGGCGATGGTGTGCAGACAGCTACGTCTGAGGTGTTAAGTTTATCTATTTACTAGTTCAGCACCTTTAAAATTTCCTAATGGGGGAGGTTATTTGAATTATTATGGCACGATGAGTATTCTCTGTAAAGCCTTTTACAATTAAAGTTATACTTTTTTTTACTGTTATTAAATTGTTAGATTCCCACCTTTCTGCGTCAGATTATGTCTTCTTTGGTAGCGTGAATTGAATTCTAGAAGGCAATGAGGCAGTTTTCATCCATGTTGAATGGATTAGCAAGGTCACTGAGAGGGAACAATTCGGGGAACGATGACGGACGAGAGACTGCCGAGGTAAAGACGAAGGATGCCAAGAGAAATGAACTCATTCTGAGATCTTCCGGCTCCGTAAACGTCGATGGTTCGAACAATTTCGCTTCGGTGTTCTCGAAGAGAGGTCGAAAAGGAGTGAACCAGGATTGTGCCATTGTATGGGAGGTAATAAAAGATGACTGTTTCTTTTTACCAGGCTGATATGAGCATAGATTTAAATTGCGGTTATAATCTCATTTTCGGTTACGATGTATTTATCGCAACTTTGGACATAATTAATGCTATTGTAGTCATTTTGGGTATCACAATCATACAATAACAATTTCGGACGGCATAATTACCGTTATATAACAATTGGATCGCTATTTAACTCCCGGTATACGAGTGTTTGTCCTGTAAATTTTACACTTTTTTTTGCTTGGGATAGGAATTTGGATGTCAAACAGACATGTTGTTTTGTGGGATATTTGATGGGCATGGTCCATGGGGTCATTTTGTAGCTAAGGAAGTCCGAGAATCAATGCCTTCGTCCTTGCTCTGCAATTGGCAAGAGACTCTAGCTCAGGCATCGATCGACCCAGATACCGATTTAGAATCCAATAAAAACCATGAAAGGTTTCATATATGGAAGCATTCTTATCTAAAGACTTGCGCTGCAGTCGATCGCATGCTCGAGCGGCATAAGAAGATCAATTCATTTTACAGTGGAACAACTGCCTTAACAATTGTCAGACAGGTACTCGGTTTAGTATTACTTGAACACTCATCTGTATTCAGAACATTTTAAATGATCATCGAGAGTGATTTCAAGTTTATATTGGATAGGGAGATCTTATATATGTAGCCAACATTGGTGATTCTCGGGCTGTTTTGGCTACAACATCGGATGAAGGAAACTTGGTTCCCGTTCAGCTTACAGTAGATTTCAAGCCGAATCTACCTCGTGAGTTCTCGATCAGAGTCTCTAAAAATGTCGGGAAAAAGAAAACGAAAGAGAAGCGATTAAGGATCCTTATGTTTTCGGCTGATGTTGCTTGCAGAGGAGGCCGAGCGGATAATTCAGTGCAAAGGTCGGGTTTTCTGCCTGCATGATGAGCCAGGGGTGCACAGAGTTTGGCTACCTGATGAGGAGTCACCGGGGCTGGCAATGTCAAGAGCTTTTGGGGACTACTGCATTAAAGATTACGGACTTATTTCAGTTCCGGAAGTCACACAAAGACATATAACCGGCAGAGACGAATTTGTAGTGCTCGCTACTGATGGGGTATGTATATATACAAACACCAAGGCTTTGATGAAAGTTTATCAGATGACAATGCTTTTGATTTGTTTTTGAATCTTGTCATGCAGGTATGGGATGTTGTAACCAATCAGGAAGCAATACAAATAGTATCTTCAACCCCAGACAAGGCGAAGGCAGCTAAGAAGCTGGTCGAGTCCGCTGTCCGGGCTTGGAAAAAGAAGAGGAAGGGCATTGCAATGGATGATATTTCAGCCATCTGCCTCTTCTTCCACACTTGTTGATTTTGTTACAACTTCAACGTAGATGTAAATGAGCAAAGGTTATTGCTCCTATGTATCTGTATTTGTTAGTTGAACGTAGTTCATTCCATTCCCTTGATTGATGCCATTTTTTTTTGGGTATTTAGCACATTCTAATCTGCAACAAAATTTCTATCATTTGCCTGTGATTTAACAACATATTCAAACGGAAACTCCCAACTTAGCTCGTATGGTTCTTGCGGTTACCCTTGAAGAGATGGAATCTAATATATTAACATATTTGTTATTAGAATCTGTTGATGGGAGAATAAGATTAAGGCAGCTTGTAACGGTTCATTTTTTCTAATTTAGGAGAGTTGTAATCAACGGTGTTCGAACCTAAAACCTTTAAAAATAATAATTATTCTTTTAACCATTAAAGTAGTTTGATTCATGCACTTATATAACATTTTCTTTTGAAATGATAACATTTATATAGCATAATTTGTGCCTATAAATTATGTTATATATTTGCTATGTTTGAAATACTTCGAGAAACTAATTATGTTAGCTCTTTCGAAAAACCAATTACAAATGAAGAAAACAAGAAATAAAATATCAGAAGGCAAATATGTTTACACATTTTAAATATTCACTCAATCACACTTGAACAAAATTAACAATTTAGCTCGCAAGTGTATTACAATAAAAAGATATAAAAATTAAGCACACTAAAACACTTTTAGGTTGGTAGATTAATACAATATGATTCTTGATGTTCTTGAGATGTTTTGACTTTGTTTTATACTTTCTCTATCAATTCTAACTGTTTGGAGTCGATGGAGATTATTATAGATGTTACCTACAACAAAAAATAACATTTAATGCATAAGAGATCGATCATTTTCAACGAGGAATCAATCATTTGACGAAGTGATCGATCCGTGGCTACTTGAATCTAAGGGATCGATCATTTTTCAAGAGGATCCATCTTTCTGCTTAGGGAATTGATCCTTTGAGCCAAAATACCTTGGAGACTCAATTTTAAAGTGTGAAAACAATCGGGAAAAGGTTTGAAAAGGTTCGAGTTGTATAGAAAATATTTAAAACATATTTTCGATCAATCCTTTTACAAGAGGATAGATCCTTCTGCCCACGGAATTGATCCTTTAAGCCAAAATACCTTGGAAACTTGATTTTAAAGCGCGAAAATGATTGGGAAAAGGTTTGAAAAGGTTCGACCAATATGGAAAACATTTTAAAAAATATTTTCAAGTTAATTTGGACTTTGAATTATTTTTAATAAATTTTTAAAAAAATTAATTAAATCCAAAATCAATTTTACATTTAATTGTTATATAAAAATATAAATTCTATAATTATCATATACGTACTACTATACGTTTGATAAATTATTTTTAAATTTACTTGATAAATTATCATATACGTACTACTAGATGTTTGATAAATCAAAAATTCATATAATCAATTAAAATGTGTAAAAAATTGAGAGTTATAACCCAAACTATATAACTTTTTAGATTAAACATAGTAATATTTTAAATTAAAAATTATTATAAATTAAACTTAAATTAATTTGTTACGTAGTAAAATTACCCAAACTATCCTCCCTGTCAGGGTGGTGGAACTTTGGGAGGCGACTCTACTCTGTACAAAGAAAAAGACATTTAATGTTCACTTCAAAAAAAAAAAAAAAGACATTTAATGAGATTTACAATTACATGTGCCAACGACTTGTATGCAAAGACTTTGTTGGATCTTGCAATTGAATCAGTCCTATCAAGCATTTAACCATCTCCAAATGGCAACCACTCATTGAGTCATCCGAGTTTGACCCTACGTACCCGATCCATCCTGCCAAAGCCCAAAAGATTGGAAAGCAAGATTCTGAACTAGTGCAAAATAATGGAACCAATTTGGTTATCGTCTTATTTGACAATTCTCTTGGAAAGCAAGATTCTGAACCACCCATTTAATTGTTTGGAGTCGTGGGAGATTATTATAGTTGTTATCTATAATAAAAAAGTAACATTTAATGCATAATAGATTAACATTTTCAACGAGGAATCAATCATTTGATAAAGTGATCGATCCATCTACTTGAATACGAGGGATCGATTATTTTTCAAGAGGATCCATCTTTCTGCTTAGGGAATTGATCCTTTGAGCCAAAATACCTTGGTCGATTTTAAAGTGCGAAAAGATTTGAAAAGGTTCGAGTAATATAGAAAATATTTAAAACATATTTTCGATCCATGGCTACTTGAATCCAAGGGATCGATCCTTTTACAAGAGGATAAATTCTTCTGATTAGGGAATTGATCCTTTAAACTAAAATACATTGGAAACTCAATTTTAAAACGCGAAAATGATCAGGAAAAGGTTTGAAAAGGTTCGACTAATATGGAAAACATTTAAAAATATATTTTCAAGTTAATTTAGACTTTGAATTATTTTTAATAAGTTTTTGACAAATTTAATTAAATCCAAAATCAATTTTACATTTAATTGTTATATAAAATATAAATTCTATAATTATCATATACGTACTACTATATGTTTGATAAATTAAAAATTCATATAATCAATTAAAATGTGTAAAAAATTGAAAATAAGAATTAGAAAAAGATGGTTTAACTTTTTCAACAAAAATAAAGTGTTATCAGGGATTTTGGTGTAAGTCTTGAAAAAGTCTAAAATATAACCTACTAAAAAAATTAGCTGACCCTATTCCTATATGTAATGGAGTGAGAGGAGGTAAGGTAGTAGGTTGCCCTCAACGCCAGGTAGAGAGCAGCTTCCGTGAAAGACTTCCGACAATCAGAATTATGAATTGCCCACCGTAGGACTCAATCTCACGACCACAAGATTAAGAGTATTGCGCTCTACCAACTGAGCTGGACGGGCAATTCTAAAATATAACCTACTAATATAAAGTTAAAAATGTCAAAAATCAGTTATAACCGAAAAATTTATTTAAGAGTTTAATTTTTTAAGTTAGACAATATGTCATTAGGTTGAAATAAAAAATATTATCTTCTCCATAATAAATCATATAAATTGTATAATTATTCGGATTGTAATCTAAATTATTATCAATTATATATCTTTTTAGGTTGTACATGTAATGTTTTAGATTAAAACCCACCGTAATAAAATATTTTTAGTTATAACCGAAATTATTACAAGTTTCATAATTTTTTAGATTAAACATAATAATATTTTAAATTAAAAATTATTATAAATTAAACTTAAATTAATCTGTTACGTAGTAAAATTACCGAAACTATCCTCCTTGTCAGGGTGGTGGAACTTTGGAAGGCGACTCTACTCTGTACAAAGAAAAAGACATTTAATGAGATTTACAATTACATGTGCCAACGACTTGTATGCAAAGACTTTGTTGGATCTTGCAATTGAATCAGTCCTATCAAGCATTTAACCATCTCCAACTGGCAACCACTCATTGAGTCATCCGAGTTTGACTCTACGTACACCGATCCATCCTTCAAATAAGCTGCCAAAAGATTGGAAAGCAAGATTCTGAACTAGTGCAAAATAATGGAACGAATTTGGTTATCGTCTAATTTGACAATTCTCTTGGTGTTGGTTGTTGCCGCTTCTCCAACTTTCTCTACTTCCAGTTCTGGTATATTTCATTCAGCTTTTGTCACATTATCTGCTCTTCACTTTGTCTTAATATATTGATTTGTTGTGGTTTGAAATTGCAGATGGAGTCTCACTCTCATCCTCTCTCGCTTCTACAGGAAGGCATCTGCTTCAGACAAAGAAAGGTGAGTTGAGTTAGGAGACCAATTGGACGAGAGTTAGGATCAAACATTAAGAATAGTTAAATTATTGAATTTTAATGAACATACGTACATCACATAAATTTAACTATTCGAATTCTAAATCTCTAAAAAAAAAATATTTTCTTCTGAGATCGTAAAATAGATTCAAATTTGTAAATAAAAAAATTTAAGTCACAACCCTACCTATAACTTCTTTAGTTTTGTCCCAGATGGTAGGCTTAGATTTTGCCTGAATCCATCTAAATCGATTGATTCGAGTTTAACTAATATTTTTAAATGTTTTTCTTCTTGGGGTTTGGATATTCAGCGTGTCCTATTAACTTCGAATTTCTGAACTACACGGTGATCACGAGCCAATGCAAAGCACCCAAATACCCAGCCCACGAGTGTTGTGCGGCGTTCAAGAAATTCGCTTGCCCTTACGCAAAAGAGATCAATGATTTGACAACCGATTGTGCTTCAACCATGTTCAGCTACATTAACCTTTACGGCAAATATCCGCCTGGTCTTTTCGCTAACGAGTGCCGAGAAGGGAAGGAAGGCCTCAACTGCCCCAAATCTCCTCCACCCTCTGCAACTACAAATATTGCTAATTAATATACTCATTTGCAGTAACGGGTCTAGTTATGATCACCAAAATCCTGTTAACAATGGTGATTCCTATACCAAAAAGTAATGGCTTAAATATATAAAAGGTGTGCAATCTATGCCTATTTTTTTATTTTAGTGTCTAACGTTTATTTCATTTCAGTTTGGTACTTAACGATTCATTCCGTTACTCAAAATGGGTCAAATTGTGACGGACCGTTAATTTCCTCCGTTAAGTGACACATGTCAAAATCTGATAATTTTAAAATTTCTATATAAAACTAAAAAAAAATTATATTAAAAAAAGAAAACACATAAATATTGAAATAACCCAAAACTTTGAAAACCTTCATTTCAACCCCTAAACCCTCACCGACCGTCACCCTTTGCCGTTGACGAAGCTCCACCCGATCTCACCTCCCCTGGCAACCAAAACCCTATGAAATCGTAACTAATCAACGACAAATCGACATTTTATACCCCGTAAACCCTATGATGAAAATCGTACTCCCAAGCGATTTCGAAGGCCAATCGACGACAACTTATAATTAGGATGATGACAAGGAATATATCGACGGCGGTGATCGTGACTGAAAAGGGTGGTGACGACGGGTTAGTGTTAGGATTTGGGGATTTTAAGGATTATGAGGCTTTTTTTGTAATTTAAAAGAATTAAGGGTTTTTATTATAAATATAATAATAATTTTAATATTTAAAAAAATTCAAAATTACGAGATATTGACACGTGTTACTTAACGAAGAAAATTTACAATCCGTCACGGCTTCACCCATTTTGAGTAACGGAATAAAACGTTAGACACAAAACCGGAACGAAAAAAATGTTAGGCACTAAATTAGAAAAACGAACATAGATTTAACACTTTTTGTATATTTAAGCCAAAAGTATTTAGACTTTGTTTGGTTTTAAGGGCTTTTGTGTGATTGTAGGAGTTGTTTGTGGCAATTCGTTACTAGAATAATAAGCGTGATTTTGTACGAGAGATGTTAAATATAATAAATAAATAAACTATATAAAAAATTAAAACTCTCAAAAATACGATCACTCATACCCATCCCTCCGTCTACTCAAAATCCACCAACCCACATAAGATTTTAGATTAATGGGAATAAAGAAAAGGTTTCTTGGGTCTGGCTCAAGAAATCAAATGGGCCTAATTGGGCTTCATAGAACCTCAAAAGAAAAGTGTTAGTTAGGTTAGGTATTGGCCCCAAAAGCATTTTTCACATATTTTTTCGGGATGGAGACGATGAACTTTGTCTTAGAATCTTTTCAACAGAGAAATTAAAGAAAGGTATTGGGATAGGTTGATGTTGTTTTCCTTTTATCATCTTTACAATGTCAACGACAAAGGAATTTGATGTATCCAGAAAAAGATTTGATGTTTTTTAATCTTAATTTACTCGGATACGAATTTAAGCTCGATATCTAAAATAATTGAAATTAAGGACTTAATTTAATCAGTAGCATTTGATACTTTATAATTTTAATATTTCTAGTCTGTTCTTTTATCGGAGGAGGTGGTGTCGATACCTGTATCCTACACAAAAAATAATATTATATTACATGATGTGCTCATATTTTGTCTTCGTGTCGTCATGTAAAGCAAACCCCGCAGAGAATATGTTGTCATATTAACGACACATTTGAGTCATTGACCAAATCATTCATCATGTTGCTTCTCATTCAACGCATGGCTGCTCCGTGAGGCACGTAATATATATGCAGACAACCATTCACTCAATTCTCATACATTTCTTCTTATTGTTCCCCCCCCCCCCCCTCATTGGTTTTGAAAAATGAGTTTGGATATTTTACCTTACGATTGTTTTGCACATATTCTTTCATTTACTTCACCGGTTGATGCATGTCAAATTTCGATTGTTTCTTCGTCAATTCGAGTTTCGGCTGATTCGGATATTGTTTGGGAGAAATTTTTACCATCGGATCATCGAGAAATCCTCTCGAAACTACGACATCCTTTGATTTATTCATCCAAGAAAGAGTTATTCCTCAAATTATGTAATCCACATCTATTTGACAGAGGTAACAAGGTAAAATTGATTGACATCTCTTTATCTAAAATCTGAACCCTCTGCTCTCTTTCAATTATATAAAAAATAGGTATGCTGTGTTTATATTTTACTTGCATTGGTATACAAATATGAAGATAGCTCATTTATGTTAAAATATATAATTTACATTCATGTATTCTTTTTGGTTACATTTACTTATATTTTTCACTTGTTTACTAAAGCAGCTAATTTACCAAGATTTTTTTTTTGAAAATGTTTACCTCCTGAAAAGTACATGAAGGCTTACTATATATCTGTTCATACCACCGATGGATCAAATGAGAGCTATCATTGATCCATAAAAAAGTGTGAGCAAATATATATATGTATGAGTTCTTTTATTTATTTCTTCAATTTTAAGTTAGATGAAATTAATAATAAAAAGCAGTTTTATCAGGGTTATTTTTGTGTGCACAGGTGGTGGATCAAATATGAGTTATTGAATGAAAAAATAATAATAATAATTCATATTTGTTCCATAACCTGTGGATGCAAAGCATGACCTTGAAAAACTGTTCATGTTATCAAATAAATACTCAAATTCGGCCTAACTAGCAACCCTTTCCCTATGGATTCTATGACAATGTTTAGGGATAGGTTTAGAAATATATTTTAAGGTGAATATATATATATATATATACTAATAACATAAATTTTTTATATGAGCTTAAAAAAATAAAATTTTAAATAGTAACGATCAATATTCTTTTCCATTACATGAGAGATAATGGACGAGTAATTTTGCAACATTTGACAGACGTTTTCATTAGAGAAGACAACAGGTAAAAAACGTTACATGTTGAGTGCAAGGGAGTTGGACATTACATGGGCCGACAACCCTCTCTTCTGGTCCTGGAAACCTTTCCCAACATCAAGGTCTCACGTTATTCATTTCATCTTAAATATGGAAGATATATATAAGTTGTTTATATATACATAACTTTTCATTCTCAGATTCCATGAAGTTGCAGAACTCAGAACCACATGGTGGCTTGAAATTCAAGGCAAGATCAATTCTCGTATGCTGTCTCCGACAACAACCTACGAGCCTTATCTTATCGTGAAGTTCGTCGACCGAGCATACGGGTTAGATTTTTTGCCATCAGAAGTTTCTGTCGAAGTCGGGAATGTGAAATCAGAAGGTAACGTTTATCTCCGACAGTACGACAGTAAGAAGCAATGCTTAGATTCGAACCGGATCGAATCAGTTGCAAGATCAATGGAGTGTAGAGGGATAATGGAAGAAAGGGTTGGTTGCAAACGTGAAGATGGATGGACTGAAATTGAATTGGGGAGCTTTTACAATCACGGTGGTGATGATTTGGAAGTGAAGATGTCATTAAAGGAAGTCAATGGAACCCACCTTAAAGGAGGGCTAGTTGTTGAAGGGATTGAGCTTAGGCCGAAGCAGTGCTGAACTTTGTTTTTATAAAGGGGAGGGGAAGGGACTGTAGAAGAATGATATTTATAACTAGTTAAATTATCTATCATCCATTTTATTCTTATTTTATAAGTAATTTAAACATGATATATCTATGAATAGAGGTGAGTAAAACTCAATTCTAGATTTAAAATACTCGATATTTTAATTCTTTTTAGTGTTAAAAGAATTCAATTCGATTTGATTTGATTTAATTTGAAAAAAAAAATCCAATATAAAATATAACTCGAATAATTCAAAAATTTTCGTAATTTATAGAATTATTTTCAAGTTCAAATCAAATCCTTCAATTTTGTATGATATATGTATATCATATATGAAAAAATATGAAGAAGTATACATTTATATCATATGTGGTTATGGAAATTTATTTAAATTAGAATCAAACATTATCATATTATTATAAATGTTTACAATTAAATTTAAACAAAAACTCGAATAATTTGACTTGAATCGACTCAAATTTTTTTAAATCAAATTTAAGTATCAAATTTTTTAAATTAGAGTCAAATTGGTTAACTTAAATTTTTTTGATTCAATTTGATCGAGTACTCACCCCTAATTATTGAGAATTAAACTGGTTTTCCAGGCTTGGGCTTTAATTTAGTCATCAGTACACTGATCTGTAGGCCTATCTGTACCAAAGGCCAGGACCTGGTTAGATAGTCAACCCGCAGGCCTACCCGTTCCAACGCCCAAGCCCTGGCAATATGCTTCATTGAATTGTGCGGCCGAACTTGGGCTTGTAATAATAGCTGGTGTGAAAATAGCAGCGCCCGTCTTGAGCAAGAGCCGGATGGCGCAGAATATTAGGGATGTGATCTTAAAAGAAAGCATAACTTGGTCAGGGGAAAGCATAAACCAAGTTCATTTCATAACTCAAACCACATCTCTTTTCTTACTAACCAAACAACCCCTCAATTCTTCGCATATAAAACTTTCACCTTCTCTGTAAAAAACAACACAAAAACCCCTTCCCTGCAGTTTTCTCTCCTGAGAAAATGGCCTTTGCCAATTTTCTTCTTACCATTCTCTTAGTGTTACCTTCATTCCAAGATTTACCTGATGTTAATCAAAACTTAAATACTCAACCGTTCATTTCACTTGTCTGTTTAGGCACTGATAACAACGATTTATGCCTCTCAAATATTCAAACCGAGCTTCAAAACTTAGGGCCTCAAACCCCATCGTCAGTTTTGCATGCTGCATTGAGGACCACGCTTAATGAAGCTAGACGAGTCATTGAAACCATGTCAAGGTTCACTGGTTTGTCCGCGAGTTATCGTGAACAAATGGCCATTGAAGATTGCAAGGAACTCCTCGATTTCTCCGTGTCCGAATTGGCCTGGTCTTTAGCCGAGATGAGAAAGATTCGTGATGGTTATAATAGTGGTGAATCTGAAGGGAACTTCAAGGCTTGGTTAAGTGCTGCGTTGAGTAACCAAGATACCTGCCTCGAAGGCTTCGAAGGCACCGACCGACACCTCGAGAGCACCATCCGAGGCAGCGTGAAACAAGTTACGCAACTCATCGGCAATGTTCTAGCTATGTACACTCAGTTACATAGCTTGCCTTTCCGATCGCCTCGCAATAGCACTTCCACAACGAATGCAGGCTCGGAATTTCCGAAATGGATAACCAATGGCGATCAAGAGCTTCTACGGACTCATTCAAGTCACATCCACGCAGATGCCGTCGTGTCTCTGGATGGGACCGGACGTTATCTGACGATAACCGATGCCATCAACGATGCTCCGAGTTATAGTAACAGGAGGTACGTCATTTACGTGAAGAAGGGAGTTTACAAGGAGAACATTGACATGAAGAAGAAGAAAACCAATATTATGCTCGTCGGAGATGGAATCGGACAAATGGTTGTGACAGGGAACCGTAATTTCTTGCAAGGATGGACGATGTTTCGAACCGCAACCGTTGGTACGTACCACACTAAATTTCAGCAATTAATCAAGTTTGATTCTTTTTTAATGGTATTTAAACTTTGAATTAGCCAAATTATATGAACAAGACACTAAATGAAGTAATTACTTTTAGAAAGTGAGATTCCATTTTTGAAAACACACGCTTCATTTAATAATATTCCTTGTGCTTTGATTCTTGCAGCTGTTTCTGGAAAGGGATTCATAGCAAGAGACATCACGTTTCAAAACACGGCCGGACCGGAGAACCACCAGGCCGTCGCTCTCCGGGTGGATTCCAATCAATCGGCTTTCTTTCGATGCAGCATAGAAGGCTATCAGGACACCCTCTACAGCCACTCCCTCCTCCAATTCTACCGTGAGTGCAACATTTATGGCACCATAGACTTCATTTTTGGCAATGTTGCAGCTGTTCTCCAGAACTGCAAGATATTCACTCGAGCCCCTTTACCACTTCAGAAGGTGACGATCACCGCTCAGGGACGGAAAAACCCGAACCAGAACACCGGGTTTTCTATCCAGAACAGTTATATTTTAGCCACTCAACCGACTTATCTAGGGCGGCCGTGGAAGCCGTATTCGAGGACGGTTTATTTGAACACTTTCATGAGTGGCCTGGTGCAGCCTAGAGGGTGGCTCGAGTGGTACGGGAACTTTGGTTTGAACACACTTTGGTATGGCGAGTATAAGAACTACGGCCCTGGTGCTTCGTTGTCCGGACGGTTTAAATGGCCTGGCTACCACATTATCCGAGATTCTTCCACCGTGGATTACTTCACCGTTGGGAGGTTCATTAACGGCCGGTCGTGGTTGCCGGCAACCGGGGTCAAGTTCACCGAAAGTCTGACCAATTAGATGATTTTTTTATTTAATGCATGGTGTTATATACTAGGAGTATTTTTTAGTGGCTGTATTGATTGGTTACCCGTATATTTACGTGAAGATCAGATATCTGGCAGCTTCGTCATTCATGATCGATTATATTTGATTTCTAAAGTAGTTATTTGATATACTTTTATGAGGATTGCAAAACAATGGGGAGTGCCTTGTACTGGGAGAAAATGCTCTTCAAGAATTGGGATGTGAGGAGATGTCAATTCTGATAGCAACCTCGAGGAAAGAATCTATTGATGAAGTGGTAGATTTGGAAGCAGGAAGAGATATTTTTAGAATTAGAGTAATGAAAATTCCTACGTCCAGAAGTGTCTCATTGAATTGCAACCGAGAACAAAGAGAGGATGCGGTTCTTGTTGATTCACAATCCTCGGCAGAAAAAACTGCGGACTCATCGGAGGCGAAGGAGCACGAGAGGGATTCCGATGAGGAAGACACTCAGTTATGGTGTATGGAGAATTTATCAAGAGGCAGCTTTTTGTCGGGTGTGGATGGGGAAGAAAGGGACATTGGTGAGGAATCTATTATGGGTCTGTGCAATAATGGGGCTGGTGCAGTGAATGATCAAATGCTAATTGAGTTAGCAGTGGAACACGAGGATGCGCTGCAACACGTGGAGAGAGAGGAAGAAGTTGTCAATACTGTTTATGATGAAATGGAGGATTATTCTAAAGTAGTGCCCATACTAGGTTGCCGACCCGAGCCAAAGGTGATTGAGGATGTTTTTAATATGGGGTTCACAAACACGTGCGGTACCAAGATTCACATGGGAGAATGTTTTCATGAGGACGGGGCTGAGGCTGATCAGCTAGATGAAAGGCCCATTACTGGGCAAGAATGTGAGGATGCGGGCCAGAAACTTAGTTTGTCAACAAATACGGGGAATGTCTCTCTGTTGCATAACCAAAGGCAGATCGAGAAAGCTAAGGGGGGAAAAGTAAAAAATATAGTTCTCTTCGATTCATCCAAGAAAAATTTTTGGCTTCCCAAAGAAAGTCCAGAAACTGTCGAAGCTAGAAAAATCTGAAGAAGGTGCAACGTGTGGAAGAATCGACTGAAATTGAAGACAGATCCCTGTCCGATTCTGACTTACATGCAAGGTGGCAGAGACAAAGGAAGGAGGCCAGAGAAACGCTTCAGGTGGGGAAAGAATTGGGCATAGCTTTTAAAGGTTCAGAAGAGGATTTGATTCGGGAGATTGTAGCAGCGGAAGAATTGGAAGGTGAGTCAAATTCCCTTTCTATTGAATTTTAGTAGAGTTCAGCGGAAGTAGGTTTGGAGATAAGGATCTTATCTTGGAATATACGAGGGATGGGTTCAATTGTTAAAATTTCAGAATTGAGGAGGTTAGTTAGGTTGCATAAGTGTGAGATTGTGTTGATTCAAGAAACTAAAAAAGAGATTTTTGATGAGTCGGATATATCACGGTTTTGGTGTGATGATGATTTTGATTTCAGATTTTTGAAAGCGGTGGGTAATTCTGGGGGTTTGCTGTCTGTGTGGGATAAGAGTCGTTTTCATATTGTAGATAGTATAATACATGACATATTTATTCTGTTAATAGGGAGGTATGCTTCAGAGGTTTTGATTTATTCAGTGTTGAATGTTTACGCTCCCTGTGCTGCTTCTGATCAAGGTACACTCTGGAATGAGATTATAGTAGAAAGAGGGAAGTTCAGCTACAAATGGTTCATGGCTAGTGATTTTTATGCCATACGAATCACAGTGAGAGTAGTGGATGCTCTTATAGACACAAGTTCATTGAAGAGTGTAATATGTTTGATATGCCTTTAGCGGGGAGGAAATTTACATGGCTCGGACCGGAAAATCGAAGAAGCCACCTTGATAGAATTTTTGTTGAGGAAGAATGGTTCAGGGAAATAGTGGCGTAATTCTATGGGGGCTACCGAGATCAGTTTTTGATCATATACCGATTCTGTTGGGTAAGGAGATAATTGATTGGGGACCGAGACCTTTCAAGTTTATTAACAGTTGGTTAAAAAAGGATAGTTACTTGAAGGTGATACAAGAGACTTTACAACTGGATTACTCTTGTGAGGAAGATTTAAGTATGAAGTTAAAAAGGGTGAAAGGAGCATTGCAAAAATGGAATAAGGATTGCTTTTGGAATGTCGATAATGAAGTTAAAAAATTAGAACAGAGGATTAATGACCTGGACAAAAAGAAAGATATTTCTCTGTCCTGGACGTTTGGTGAAAGGGAGGAGGTAGTTTGATGCACAAGGAAATCGTGGGATTGTTTGAGACAAAAGGAGGACATTTGGCGTCAAAAATCAAGAATGAATTGGCTGAAGCTTGGAGATGAAAATACTTCCTTTTTTCCATAGAATAGTGAAGATTCGAAGCAAAAAACGAATTGACAGCCGAGGGATATGTAGTAGCGATGTTCTTTGGACCGGTTGCAGAGGTTAATTCCGACTTTGCAGAATTGACAGCAATAAAAAAACGCTTTGGTGTTGTTTAGCGAATCCACGTGGTGCGGCAAGGTTGAACTGATTGTGGAATCGAATTCTATAGTAATGTTGAATTGGGTTCAAAATTGTTTAGTTCGACCTTGGAGGTGGGGTTCTTCTTTTCAACAGATTGATGAAAATGCCTTGAAGATTAGGGAGGTTAAGTATGTTTTTACGCCAAGGTTAGTAAATAGAATGGCAGATTACTTGGCCAACTTGGGGTCCAGGAGATCGGTTATGTTTCAAGCATGCTGGTGAGAGGCTCGTATGGAATTGTACTTTTTTAATTCTATGTCTGGTATAAGAACTAAATCGGTTAGATTTTGGGAGATGGATTGTATTGGGGATCCCTTCCCAGTTTGATGTACGGAGACATTGAATTTAGCTGAGGTGTTTTCTTTGTGGTTTTCCCTCAAATGTGGAGTACTCTTTTCCCCCAGTTAGGTTTAGGGGGAGTTTTAATGAGACTCATATTTTGGGATACGATACTTTTCTTCATTCTAAGTAATAAAATAAAATTATTGCTGAGAAAAAAAAAAGTTCATTTGTAGTCAACAATTATAGCGGTCAGTTTTATTAAATGAAAATATATAATAAAATTGTAATTCTGAGTCTAAAAAAAATTGAGCAGATTATTAACATTAATTGATTGTTTTTCATGCAACAATCAAATGTTAAGCAAGTACCATTTTTATTAAAAACAATTTATTAATTTTATGACAAATAATTATCCTACGTAATATTGATATGCTAATAAATTGACTTTATCATAACTCAAACGAATATATTTTTTATGGTTGTGAGCACCTATTAGTATAAAAAGATCGCTATGAGGGTTTAAATTAGAGTAGATTAACAAAATGATTAAATAAATGTTTAATTAGAGAGATGAAATTAAATCTAACCTTTATAAAAATAAAGACAAAGTATATTATAAAATTTGTTTAAAGATCATCGTAAAAGTGATTATTAAAAGTAGTATCTATTTTTAAATACTTTCAACTATTTGACAATAAACGCTCAATCATCATTGCAATCACTGGTGCTTGAACCCATGATCTCTACAAACAATAATGTTTCCTTTAACCACTTAGCTAAGTTAGTTCGTGCCAAACACTAGTGTCATTTTTATTTATTGAATTACTATTTAATATAACATTTCCAATTATATGTTACCTTTTAAACTTTTGTATATTCATATGGTATTTTATATTATATTTTGATTGAACTTTTCATATTATATCTAAAATATTTTATTTCGTATTAATTCTAGCATATAATTTATGATATTTTAGACTAACATGCTATCAGATAAAAAAATTAACTCCACCAACTCTAACATAATTTAACGTTAAAGAAATTGGAAGAGACTGATTTGAATTAATACAAAATTGTCTAATTAGGTTCAGTTTTGTATTTCAAAAATACTTTGCCTTAACGAGTTTTGGTAATTAAATGCCAAAAATTAATCTTTGATCTTTTCACATGTGTACCATATAATAAATATGTGAGTTGTACTCTGTTGAGCAAATAATTAAAACTGTGAAACTGAATAATTAACTAAAATAAATAATTGTTATTAAATTAATCAATTATACTTTCCTTGTTCACAAAGAAAACTAAAACTGAAATAATTCATAAAGATTTGTAAGTTTCACATTTAAACAAGGTAAGTCTTTGTAGAATTTGAATTTAAATATAAATTTGAAAAATAATATTTACTTGTTATATAAATGAGCAACCATGTAAAAGCTAGCTGTACAATAAATCCTAGAGAGGTCAACAATAATAATACCCTTTGGAAAATACGCAGAAACAAGAGATAAATCATCAGTTGGTTGGAGTTTAAATTCAATAATTAGAATATTAAAAAAAATCAATTAATAAATTACTCATTGAATCACTTTTAAAAGTGAGCAAACTAATCCAATTTTTCAATAAATAAAAATAAACATCTTTCCATGAATTTATAAAAATTCAATAAATTTATAAATATATTTAATCCTTATAAAAGATCCATTAATATTTTAAAATATTTTCAAAACAAAATAAGTTATATATTAATTAATTATTGATTTAGTTCAAATTTTATTAAACTTAAACATTAAACAAATAAATTATCAAACCTAGTTTATCATATTAAATTGTATATTTTTTCTTTTTCTAAAAGAAGTTTTCGTTTATATGGTCCATAATTTATGTGCTTTAACTTAAAATTTATTCAAGTTATAAGTAAATAAAGTTTTAATTTGACTTATTTTTTTTTATTTTTAATTTAATTTAAATAAATATATATGATTCAACTATTCTTAAATTTTTTTCAAATAAAATTTAAATGATAAAATATTTACCCATAGTCTAAACTATTCAATCATAGTTAACTGAGAAAGTATCCTCTCATGCCTTAATTAAACTAATGAATTACTTTTAAAAATATTTCATTATGAAAGATAATAAATATTAATTAGATGTCTATGGTATTTTGAATTCAAAATCTAATAATTATTTAATAAAAGCAAAAAAAAAATCATTGATTAAAATGAGAGTTTATTTTTTTATATAGAAGATGCTAATTTTATTAAAAATATAAAATATCCAAATTGTAATAAAATTTTATAACCACAACCGTAAATACATAATAAGAACATTTTCTTATAATCAATAACAAAAGAAATTAGTCACTTGAGATCACACAAATACCATACAAAGAAAAAATTAAAAAAAATATAACCAAATAAACTTGAATAAAAGATAGATATGAATTGATTTGACCGTATCTGTAAATGAATCACAAAGGGAATCAAGTGATCGAAAGACCACTAACAAATCGTAAATCAAAATCGAGCGACGTGAAAAACTATCTACGAACGCAAATCGCTTAATCAAATTCAATCTGATAGTCTAAAGTAGGAAAAATCAACATGATAATAAATAAGTGATATATTGATCAGTTGTGGTGATGTCAAATCTAACTCTAAAAAAACATAAACTAAAACAACACCCAAATGACTGAAAATGTATCAAAAAATAGAGCAAAACGTATTACAAAGACATAATTATTAAAAATTATAAAATAAAAAACAAGAATATCATATAATAAAGATATAAAAATGAGAGTTTATTTTCAAATTACACACCAAATCGAGCCCTGAATCATCTTCGTTACTTCCATATAGAAATGGAAGTTAAATCTAATTATGATTGTTTTATAATAAAAATGAGGGAAACTCTTAAATTCTATAACATAATCAAAGATTCAAAGCTTAAGAGTCAAATCGAGCTCTGAATCATCATCCACGTTACTTTTTGATACATGAGAATCATCACTGCTAGTCCTAGTCATCGACATCTTATTTGCTGCTGCAACAATCGAAACTGGAGTTGCAGACATTGATGAACTAGTCGACAAAACGCTGTTCTTCTGAGCCTGGAAACTATCCATCACGATGCTGCCATGGCCGAAACGATAGCCGAGTGAGTTCCAATGATAACCCGGAATTGTTGCAGGCTTTTGAATCATCGAAGAAGAAGACGAATCCATTCGTATCCCAAGAGACCTATTAAAAGATCCATACAAAGAGCCCTGAGACAGGCTGGAATACGAGTAATAAGGATATTGGTGATGCCCCCAAATCCCAAAACCCGTCTCTTTACGCCGCTTGGCGATCGCGCGTTCTTGTTTATGCGCGTTTTGATGCCCTCCCAGTGCCTGAGACGTCGAGAACTCTTTGCTGCAAAAACCACACGTGAAAGCCCTAGCTTTCGACGATGAGAGCTTCAGTTCAACCGATTTGTCGTCAGGAAACATTTCGCTCGGTGGGAGACGAAACCCCGAATTTGGCTGGTTCAATGATTGTTCTTGAGAACGTTCAACATTAAGGAACACTTTCTCTTTCAATTTGGCGGCGGTCGTCGTGGTGTTTTCGCCATTGCCGGTACTGGTTTGAGTGTCATCCTCTGAGGTGGCTGAGATGCTTGAAGTATCTGAAGAAGATGAAAATTTGACACATAAGGTTTCCATGGAGGATTTTGGGTATTGAAAAAAAGATGAAAGATGTTTGTTCTATTTATGGATGGGTTTGATTTTCGAAAGTGTATCTTTGAAATTTATGATACAGTTATCTCATAGAAGCAAACGCATTAAAAGCTTTGTTAGCATTTTGAATCAGAACCCTAACAATTATTCCCAAAATTGCAAGATATGGTATCAGTAAGCGATTCATTTGCTTTATTTTCAATTCTCCAATTACCAAAAATGTGAATTCAGTACCTTTTAACTCCACATAAGTAACTATAATCAAGGCTAAAATACACAACTAGTCAACACAAGAAAGGAAGGGTGTCTCATACTTTATATAAAGTCATTTTGTGTTGTAATAATAATATATATATGAAAGATCATGTAATAAAATTACAAAGAATCCATCAAGTAATTTTAAGGAGAGTATTGTCCTTTCTAGAAATTTTAAGTTCAAGTAACAGCGTTTGTAGGGTGTGAGAATGTTTTCAATGGTTAAAAAGATTTTGAATAGATGCTACTTCGTAATGTTTTTAATAGTTAAAAAGATTCTGAATAGATGTTACATCGTAATCACTCAGGCTATTAAAAAAAATTAACAAATTCATAGAGAATCAAATGCTAATGGTTCTCTAAATGAACGAGGACACAATTTTAAAATTAACAAAATATAAATATAATAAAAATAAGGTTAAAAATATAATATAAATATTTTTTTCTCGTGCATCTACTTAATGATACTTGTTTTTTCAGATTGTTGACTTCATTTCTTTTTTGGAAAAATTACCTCATTAAGTGAGGTATTGTTCAACATTGTCTTATTGAGTTTTAGATTCACTTTTTAGTTAATAATAGGTAAAATGTAGGAATTGAGTTAAAATTCAATTCCTCCTCAAAAATAATGCATCTTACCTTATTTCTTTTCCTAAACTCAATATTCTCAAAAAGTGTTATAATTTTTGTCATAAAAATATTATTAGTTGTGGGGTCATAAAATTTATAGCCCCTAGATCGCTTTGAATAATCAATAAAATAGTTTTTCACGGTTATAGAGTCAAATTTCCTTTCATGTGGCTTAAAAGGTATTGCATACATGTAACACCCCTAACTCATATTCGACCCGAATACAAGTCCGAGATGTCACATTGACTTTTCAAACTTTGATTCTTAAAGAAAAATCCCAGCAATTTAAAAATTTCATTAAAACAAAATACTTTAATTTACATAAAAGAGACCACTTAATACAAAATCGATTAGAGCACTCGTAATTAACCACTTATTACATACTAACACTTTCTACACAACAAAATACCTACTTTGTCAATTACTTCTGATCTGATTTATTAATAATTTTGCTGTCCGTGCCACTTCTATTCTGAATCTTCTTATTTCTCGGTACCTACGTGTAAATCACTTACACGCTAAGTCATAGACTTAGTGAGGCAATAAATGAATATGCAACAATATCTTCATGAATATGCATTCTTACCATTTCCTTCATGACATTTCAATATGCATGTATCTACTACACATTAACATATATAATCATATCATGCATGTACAAAACTTACCTTCTTGTACCACTTTCACTTTACTTTGTATTTTCAATTGCCCATGTATATTGTTGAGAATAGAGGTATGTGAGTACATTGAGGTTGTGCACTAATGCTGTCACCACAGCTCGTATCAATTCCCTCATGGGGCACCGAACCTTAGTTCAGTATTCGTCCCGAATGACTGTCATATATGTCCCGTAGGACCACTACATCCCGAAGGACTACATCCCGAAGGACTATTATACCCTCGACTCTTGGCATGCCAATTACACCTATAGCTCTCATATCGTATACTATGGGCATTATTTTTTATATTCCATATGTTCATGTACTCATGTCATTTCTCTTATGATCATGTAGCTCATGTCATTTCTCTTGTGATCATGTAGCTCATGTCATGTTCTCATATCACATATCATATCACATGTGTATTTGAATCTATTCATATATATACATCATTTATCCAATCACATGAACATATATATGCCTTATGCATGTATTACAATAATTATCATGTATGCATGTTCACAACTATTGTACTATGAAAATCAATATAGGAATTAGACTTATCACAAGTCTTATTCCATTATACTATACATATAGTATGCACTCACCTTAGCTTTGCTTTGATTCGATTCTAATCCTTTGATCGTTCCGGAATAAGCTTACTTTTAGTATCTACATAATCATACATGGATCTATATCAGTATCATAGCTAATATACTCTAATGGTTCACTCTTTAGATTAAGATAAATGTCAATTTCCTCTTTTAATGAAGGTATGCATCGATGCACTACTTGTGCATCAGTGCATAAAATGCATTCGATGTTTTATTATTAATGGGATGCATCGATGCATGCCTTATGCATCGATGCACTAATTGCATTCGATCTTTTTATTTTAAAAGAGTGCATCGATGCACTACCTGTGCATCGATACACCTTCAAACACTTTCTGGGTTTTAACCTTGATGCATCGATGCACTATGAATATGCATCGATGCACTCTGCCCAGAATCCTCTTTTTGAACCCGAAAATTCATTCATTTTGGATTAAATCCTTCATGTTTAATCCTCTTTTTCATTCTTAACTATAGTACACATCCTTAAACCAATTTATACTCATTTATTTCATCTTAAACCTCCAAATTCTATCCTTCATATGTAATTCAAGAATTACATCAATAATTCAACATGTTTGAATTCCACTTTTAACACTTCGTATATCTTAACTAGATTGATGACAAGTCAAATTTAACTTTCAATTCTAGTTATGAACTCTATTCCAAGATTTCATTTAAGAACATCAAATCTTAAATCTCTCCTAACTCCATCCTTTGATGTTAAGATAACTTAAGCTTTTTTTAAACTTAGTTATCATCTAATAATCAAAACCCAATATTAAATTTAACAAGAAACTCAATAATCAGAAATCTTACCTTTGCTTTGGTTCACACGCACAAGGAAGAAAGAAGAAGAAGAGAACTCTGGAAGCCTTGGGTGTTTTCTCCCCTTCCACCCACGTGTATCCTTATATCTATACTTATCCTTTCTTTAATTATTTTTTCTTACAATTACTCTATTGTCCTTTCATTCCTTCTTCTTTTCAATTTCATCCTACACAATAATTTACATGTAAATCTTTATACTATTCATTCATTTTATTTTAACCACCAAATTCTAAGACTTTACAATTTAGTCACTAACCCGGTATTGAGGATGTTACAATACATCCCTGAATGAGAAAGTGTTTTAAACTAGACTTTCGACATGTCCAAAGTTCATAAGGTATTTTTAAAATTGCTTTAGTGGATACTATATTTAAAAATATAAGTTGATGTTTTTAATATTCCCTTTAGGAGGAACTAAGGTAGAATGAGCAATCATGCCCATTATTATATGTTTAAGACTTATAGTACGTCTTTCAAGTATACCATTCATACTTGTGGTCTTGGCATGTTGTACTATAGAACAATATCACATTTCTTTAAGAGTTTTGCAAATAGAGCTGAACTCGGTTCACGTAAGTCATCATATCTCCGTTGTACTCTCCACTACAATCTGATGTTCTTAATGTTTCCTAATGTGATCCTAGAGACTTATGAAATATTATGTATTTTGGTCATCAAACTCATATGTTATAAATGATCGCACCTCACAAAATCTCTTTTTGCATTAGAGGTGATTATCACAGTAAGAATTTTATATAGTTTTCCCCTTAATGTATGGTCTATATCCATACAACCAAGTACTATTTATAAGTACATTTTCATTTCTTGAAAGTTTTCTTCATTAAACATGAGTATTGAATTTGAATTGATATTATGATAACATAAGGTGAACTAGTTGAATATATAAGAAAGATTAATATTTTATAAGTTAACAATAAATTCAAAATAATAGTTCATTTTCATCTCAATATATCAAATACAACGTGAGTATTAAATCTTTGAATAATAAATTGTATTTTTATTGTGGCAAGCAAACAATAGCAGTAAATCATGTTGAATACTGAATTCATCTTTGAAGTGATATATTGTTCAAATAAATATTTTATGATTGTCGCATAATTATTACCACATGTTTCATTTAAATTTGGTCAAATATTAGCTTACTTTTAGATCAACTAATAAAAACATGAATTATAAAAATACACAAATATATTGATATTTTAAATAAATTAATATACAATGATATTTTATTTTACTCAATTTATTTAAAATATTAGTTACTCTTGATTAATATCCAAAACTAAAATATAAATCTATTATTTTTCGTTGTAATCAATCATCAAAATTAAAATTTTAATCAACTCAAATTAAAAATATATTTTATTAATTTTAAACCTATAATCAAATATATGATCAATAATTCATAGCAGCATTCTAACATTTAATAAATAAGAAATTATTTTATTGTAGTTCCATAATGGCATAATACAAGATAGCCACCCAACAAATTGTAACTTTCCTTATAATTTTAATAGTCCGAAGTGATTATAATATAGTATTTATTCAGAAATTCTTTTATTCAATTGATAATAAACAAATACTTTATATTTTGAATCCAAAATTTTAAAGAAAATAATATTTTTTTATCATTAATAGGTTCTGAATGTCAATTATAATTTAAAAGTAAATCACTGTTAACATATATGAAGCTATTGTTTATTGCAGTTCCATAATGGCATAATACATACAAGGTTTCTGTGCAGTACCCAATGACTACAGTTTCTGTGCAGTGCTAATTAGCAGTAACAACATATATTATTACCAAAAAATTAACTTTTGTATAAAATAATATTATAATAATGTTGTAATATTATTTATATAATTTAATAGTAACACGATGATTAACACTTTTAAGCAATGTTTTTCACGCAAAAATAAAAGCTTGGGTAAACTACAGGAGTGATCATTTGCCTTTTATATTTGTACACTTCTGCTC